CAGATACAGCTCCTTCTGATCCGCCAACGCTAACTTCTCTGCCTCCTTCTTTTTTTTATGTGCGTGCAACGGCGCTGCGATTTAGCCAAGTTTTTGTTGGCTTAGATTTATGTGCGCCGAATGCATGCACGTACAGTAGATACTGCGTCTAAGGAACTATAGTCACGGAGCTTATCGACCTATATTATTTCATTTATATTTTAATTTCCACTGTGACTAAATCACTCTTTGTTGAATACACATATGATGGATGCCTGGCATCTAATCCTTATGGCAACTAAAAGTATCTTCATTTTTCAAGGCGTCATACCTGTATTTCTGTGCCAAACATCGCCTTCAGCTTGAGTGAGAAATGGGCGTTTCCCTGCATTTTGCTGGGCGCCGTGCATAAGGCAAATTGCTTGTAAGTTCAACTCGTATTTTGCATTGTTCCTCACTTCCGACAGTTAAATTAAAGCCATTGTCTGAGTTGCAGTTGGTGTGGCCGTTAGTTGGTTTTGTGCGCCTAACGTAGCGATTGCCTGGCATTTTTATCTGCAACAAACCGCTGGAGCAACAAAAACAACATTAGCCAGGAAGCACGGGAACAGGATTAGAAGCCAAAACAGTTGAAATACGACAGCGAAAACAATTTGTTAGGCCAGAAGTGTTCTGCAAGTTTTGTTCTTGACCAAGTAGCCCACACCCCGCTCCAATTCCAGAATTTGGTTTGAATTCCGGCGTTGGCCATGAAGTGTGGGCTTTTGGTTGCGGTTTTAATTAGTCAAGCACGCGTCGAAAGAAAAAGCCGTAATCAAATGCGGAAAATCTGCGCTTAAACTCTGCATTGCGCGGAACTTACCTTGCTTAATTGGGGAAGTCAGGGACTAAGAAATTTATACTATAAAGTTCAAAAACTATACAAATAACAAATTTTGCTGATTCAGGCTCTATGGCGATTTCGTATTACAATGAGTTTCCAAATAGTTTCATTATTATTCATTATTTGTATTTGACTTGCAACGAAGATTTTCAAATTTTATGAAATCATATTGAAAACTTCCGTGCTTTGATAGTTACAACTGGACCTCATCGAGAGCCAACTGCAGTCCAGTCGCTGTGGAAAAACAACAGCTGAGAAACGCATTAATTATCTGACTATCTGCCTGGGGCACAACCACCCATTAAGCCGCCACCGGAGGCACCACCCATCGCAGCCCACCACCAGGATGACACAGAAAGTGTTGAGCTGCAAATGAGGCAACAATGCGACCGAAAGCGGGGCAGAAAATAAACAAAATATGGGTGAAATGGGGAAAATGGGGAAAATGGGGAAAATGCAAAGTGGAAATGCTTCGAGTGCAGGCCATGCGTGGCGCAAACAAACTCGGAAAATGCAAAACGGATGTGTAAATAATTTAGACGAGTTGCCAGCACAACCGGCGAGTATCCGTGTGTGTGTGTGTATCTTTTTAGTTTATGTATCATTAAAAAATACTTACAGCAAAACAAAGCGGGAAGAAGCAGAGCATAATGAAAGGCAGTGGGAAAAGCGGAAAATGTGCCATTTGCGAGCTGCAAAGCAAACAGAATGGAGGTTCCATCCTATAGTACATATATATACAAATATACGTATATAGTGGCTTCGTACTTTTCCGGAACGTGCGAGAAGTGCAATAATTATATGCATACAAAGCAACAAACACTTGTATAGTTACTTTTTTGACATGCTGCAAATTAAACAAGTGCAAAAAGAAGGAAGAAAAACTAAGAGGGAGAAAGACGCTAGGTGAAGTAAATTACTTTTTGCTACAACTGCACACAATCAAATGCAAGCGGATTAAAAACCAACAAGCAACATGTAACAGCGATATCACCTTTGGATTATGCACTAAGAACCACTACGGATTAAGATCGATTCCATTTGCAGTTATAACCAAATCAATTTTTAGGCTAAATACAAAGTGATTTAGAAGTTGTACCATCAGATAAACAAAAACTAAACAATCTTGTTATGACTAGAACCAAATGGAGCGCATTTTTACTCTCAGTGCACAAAGTGTGGAAAAGGATGCGACTGTTGGCAACCTGGCAAACCTCCGGCGGCATTTGCATACCTGATGCTAAAAAACTATGTTAATGTGTGAGCTATCCGGGATTGAGGCGAGTTGGCAACCAAGTTCCTGGCCCGAGAAGGAGGACCAGCTGTGAGTCCGCCGGCGGGACAAGCCGCAGACATTGAAAGTGTCGCCCTCTCCGCCTTCGCTGCGTCCTGGCTGCCTGTCTGTCTCCATAAATCTCTACGGATGTGTTGTTTAACTGCCGCCGGGCTCCTGGAACACTCCCCTTGCATTTTTCCTCCCCCAGACAGAATAGGGGGCGTGGCCGGGTGGTGGCTCAATTTGCACGCTTCGTTATTCAATTAGACACTTGGCACACAAACATAGCGAGTGCCGTGGCGAAGGGGCAAATTGGGAAGAGCGCCGACTACAAGGGACGCATAATTTTGATTGATGGCCCAATAATGGCGGTGATTTATCATATTTGCATGCTAACATTTAAGCCAACGAACGGCGGGTCTGCTCTTGAAGCCAGTTAGCGAGTATGTTTGCGAATTAGCTGCATACCATAATTAAATTTAACCCTTTCAATCTAGAAATTCTGTGAATGGCATGTACTAAAACACATGGAAGTAACTTTAAGCGAGAGAGAACGCTATAGTCGATTTCCCCCACTATCAGATACCCATTACTCAGCTGGAGGAAGAGCGAACGAGAAACTTCCAAATTTTTCTGGGAGATTGGCAGAAATTGGAAACCAAAATAATATAATGAAGAAATGTGTCGTTTGTGGACGCAAGCGTAGAATGTCGGTATAAATTGCAGGAAACTAAGTTTTTCAATAGTGTAGGCGTGGCACTTTTCGGCGGTTAGTTATAAGCTTTCTCTGTCACCGGCCACCGAAAAGTATGCTATGCATTCGAGCAGATGACGCCAATACAACTGCAGGTGTGTGCGTGTGAGCTGCACATACACACCCATGTATCCCGCTAATTGGTCTTTTGCTCTCTGCAAATGAAAGCGTTGCTCTGGCAACAGCCACGTGCAGCTGTGGCTCCTGGGCGTATACGCAATATCTGTAGTTTTTTATTGCACTTTCTTCGTGTGCATGTGTGTGTGTGGGTGTGTGTGTGTTTCCCCGCAACGGCTGTATGTCTATAAAATCCGGCTTAAGCCGCTTGCTACCTGCGAAATGTATGAAATTTCTGCAGCCACTCAGCAGCCCTCCCACTTATACACACACACGGGTGTATATGTGGGGATAAAGCCAGCGACAATGCAACTTCGCACAGAAGGAAAATACACAAAGGAAAATATATTTGTACGAATTTTTATAGTATAAATAGATCCCAGTAACAACTGAAAATATATGATTAAACTGAACCTAATAATAGCGGGGAATTATATGATTATATTATATTTTACCTTGATTTCTACCGATATTCCAGAAAAATGTTGCAATTTCTCGTTCGCACTTTCACCAGCTTAGTAATGGGTATCTGATAGTCGGGGTGCTCGACAATAGCGTTCTCTCCTGCTTTAAGCTTAATAAAGAATTAAATAGTTATATATAAATATACTAGTTTGCACTTTAGGAAACATAAGCAGGGCATTTGCAATTATACATATTTTAAAATTTTGTTTAGGCATAGTATTTTTTGTGATGCACAAATACAAAAAAACAAAAGTGGAACGCATTTTTGCCAGCAGGTTTAGCCGCTGCTCCCACTGCCTGTGGCTTTGCCGTCGGCTTGGGACGCTGGTAAACACTCAAATCCAATTAAATTTAATACGACTTACTTGGCTTTGTTGCTGGTGGATGGGGGACAAAGGGATCGAGGGGAAAAACCAGGACAGAAAAGAACGACGTGTGCCGTTTGTTTGGCATTTGGTTGTTCTCGTTCTGGTTTTTCTTGTCGCTTTTCTCACTCGCAGGTTGTTTTCATTTCAGTTTTTATTTTGTGTTTCATTACTTTACTTTCTGCCGTTTTTTACGCGGTACCTGTAGAGTATATAGCTTCCAAACAGACATATTCTTCATCTGGCTTGAGGACTTCAATTAATCCCCTACCTCCAACATGCAAATTATGCCAAATGTAACATTTTTATTTTGGAGATGAGCTCTTATGCCTCGTTGTAAATAAACTCATTGACTATTATTTGAGTGTTACAATCAACACTAAAATAGTAAGTAAATAGTCTTTAAAATAGATTCTAGTTTACTTACCCTAAAATCCAAGTAACGAGTCAAATCGAACAGTCGCAACACCTTCAAACATTCTTACCTGTTTTGCAATGATTTTGCTTTCGTTTGGCTTACCCGAGTGGTTTGGCTTAATTAAGGCAACATTTGCCAAATTAAATTGGCCCCTTCAAATGAGCTTAAGAGAGCTAATTGAGTTTTGTGCCACCAGCTCGTTGAGTCTGGCTCTCCGATAAGTTGACAAACTGAATTTGCTTAAGCCGGCTAAAATAAGAAGCAGTAACACGAAAATGAGGCAATTAATATCGCCCGACTGTCAACGATCGATGACATGCAATGCAATCCGGTCCGATTCGTTCAGTTTGAATGGGATTATTCAGTCCGCAACTTCTTTCCGGTTGTCGTAGGACCACTGATGCCACTGGCATTGTAAATATGCATAAGCTCCAGAAACCCCTTGGAATATTCATGGGGTTGTGTAAAGTGCCAGGAGCTGCAATCTATGTCATATGCAAAACAAACTGCTCGATAATGGCGGAACACTCGAGGTGACAGTCTAACATTTGCAGCACATCTATTTAACAAAGCTTGAATGGCTTGTTTGGCGGTTTAAATCACACAAAACGGAAATTCATTCCAAAATAAACAGTATAGAGCTTAACATGCTTTAACAGCTTCATTGGGCTATAAATAAAGATTTTAATTATAAACACACATATGACTACAACTTAATGAATGCCTGAGTAAAAGGCAGTGGCTTGTCATAAATCCTAACTTTATTTGAAGTCACAGTTTGAAACTCGTGGCACATTATTAATAATCCTGCAATTGCTTGACCATTTATCCCAGGCCCTTCAGACTTTCCAGGGTGCGTGATCCCACCCTCGCCGCATTTGGAGGCGCCACCGTGGGCGCTTTTTCTCGATTCCCTGCCGGAAAAGTGATTGGTGGATTTTCTGCCATCAACAGGGGCAGCAGCAAGATCAGGCAGAGCAGAGCCAAAAGGTGTTTCATCTTGAATCAGATCGGACTGGCAAATAACTGGCAATTGAATGTCGAATCGGTCTTTTATACGAGCGATTAACTTTTGCGAGTACACTCGAACAAAGCACAGCTTCGGGGCCAGTTTGCGTTCTAAATTTAAGTGGAAATCGCATTCAAGCTGGATTTCCGGCTGGCAATTAAGAAAATTGGCCAACACAACGTTGGCGACTGGCAACGAGTACATAATGGATTGTAAATATTTGACACCTGCGCCACCCACTTAACCCCAACCCCAACCCCGACCCCAGCCCCAATCCAACCCAACCCATTGATGTGGCCTTAATCCAAACGCAGAACAATGCCAACAATTTACTCGGTCTAAGCTGCCACCCAGCAAGTTCTTCTTCCAATTACTTTTTGCACGATTTGATTTTACATTTAACGATTTTTCGCACTTAATTAGAAGCCAGTGTCGATGTCAGTGGCAGGCGGAGGTGGATTTGGATGTGGATGTGGCGATGGAGATGGAGGCATCCAGCCAAGGGGTTGCCATGATTTGATTAAATGTGAAGATGAATTTTAATTAAAATCCACCCCCCAAACTTCTCGCCCTGGCTTGGCTCCTTCACCCTTTTGTGGCCAAGTTTTTGACACTCAACGGCTCTCCGACACTCCCCCAAAAATCAACCCACTCCTAATAGAGCAATAAAAGCCGCAAGTTCATGCCAGACTTAGTCATCGTAATTTATGCAAAATGAAAATTAAAGATCCACGGAGCAAAAGTTTTTCATGCAAATGACAGAGTATTTAATTCCCAAACTACTTACAAGCAATTTGCCAGACATTCCCCAGATCTCGACCATCTATTTCAATTAATGCCTTTACTGCTCCGATTACCATCAATCTCTTGGCCAAACAGTGAACTATTTGGCATAATTTCCCTTTAAATGGGCTGCATGACAAACAATGCCGCTTTGTCCAGCGGAAGACTTTAGTTAAAGTTTTATGCACAAGCAAAAAAAGTACGCACAAAGGAAAACAAATACAGCCGAGCAATCACACACTCACTCGCACAGAATTTTTACGGGCAGTCACATGCAGTCCACAAAAAATACAAAAACGAACAGGAATCGCTGCCAACAGGGCGAATACTTGATGCCCTGCATACTTGATTCTCCATACACTTTGTTTGCCTTTATTACTTTTTATTTAAATATCTGTAATAACGAAACGATTACCCTTTACTTCACCTTAGTTTTAAAGTTTTCAGGCCTAGCCATGAGTAAATGTATTCAAAGATACCCTGTATCTGGAAGATGTGTACCATACACCAGATATGCAGAACGTGGCTTAGAGGGAGGGGTTTTGGCTGTCGCTTCCAATGGGCATTCAAAATTACGAGCCAACAGTTTCCGCAGTGTTTTTTGTCATTTCCATGCGCTCATTGTCAGTTTTAAGTAAGCAACTTCCTCGTTGATTTTTTTTTGTTTTCCTTTTGCGAAGCAGCAGCCGAAAGTTTTGTGACCAAAACTCTGCCTACAAATGCAGACAAATATGGAAAAACTCATGAAATGCAATAAATTTTCAAATATATTTTGTGTGCGCGGCAGCAGAGTTTTTAGTTAGTCTGTTTTTGAATTTTTTGCGTGCGAGGTTTTTGTTTTATGTTTTTTTTAGCAAGCCCTGTACAGACTTTCATTGTTTTAAACTGAAAACTTTTTTCTTGGTGCAGTGCACAGAACAAACTGATAAAGCCACGTTTTGGAAGCAAATTCAAATACCGAAAATAGAGATAGAGACTGCGACTGGCGCACTCCAAGAATTGACGGAGTCTAAGGCCAAAAGGCCATATAAATCAAATGTTGATTGCGTAAAGTCAGAAGACCAAATTTACGAGTGGCTCAAAGCCGTCTAAAAATGGCAGATATCTTTGGAGAATGACAAATACAACAAGCATGACCGCACTTTGTTAAGTTATTTTTAGTGTTATTTAATTTGTATGTAGAATTATTAAATGTGAACCAAATTTGATATATATAAAAATTGAGATGACAAAATTCGAAATGCTTTGTTTCAGAGAAGCAAAAATAATATTCATAAATATTTACAAAAATTAAAAACACATAATATATAAAAATTATGGCTGAATAATGAATATTATAAACAACAGTTAATGTTTTACAATAAAGTATATGCACTGGGCAATTATTGAAATGGATATAATGTGTAATCAAACTGTTTACTTTAAATGCGTTTTAAGATTGACTCACTTAATTTTCCAGCCATTAACGTCACAAGGCAAAGTTTCAAAAGCCGGATCATGAGTTGCTCAAATGAAAAACTTTTACTACGATTCAGCCTGTCATCTTCTTGTCAATGACTATAAATTTTGAGAGATTTTTGTTTAGAATTGCCCCATCGCTCGGCGAACACACAACAACAAATCAAATCAAATGAAATCGAACATCGAACATCGCCCATCATCTGCCCGCTGATAACTGCTCTGTTCTGATAGAGTTGTTCATTGATAAGAAAACGAAGTGGGTGGCGGTGGGCTGTGAATGAACGCTGAGCTGGCAGTTGGCTATATAAGCCAGAATACGTAGGTGGGAGCCACATTAGAAGCCCTGGGCCCAAACGGAACGGAGCGGACTGGAAAATGTTGAAACTATTTGCTGCGGTGCTCCTATTGGCCGGCGTCGCCTTGGCGGCGGACAACTACGATGGGTGAGTGATCCGTCGGAGGAGCAGTGGTTCCGCGGGCACTTGGCCATTAGTCAGTAAGCTTGCACAAAGCCTTTTGGCCAGCTTAAGTCGATGAAATCAGCGGTGCCAGCTGCTTTTTAAAGGCCAAACTTAAACTATAGTTTTATGTGCTCACACTTGTATCTGCAGCTACAAGATCTACGACATCAATGCGAGCAACGCCTTTGAGAAGCAGCTGCTGCTGCGTTTGTCCGGAAATGAGGCGTACGACTTCTTTGATCTGCCCCGCTCGCTGGACGCAGCCAGTCGCGTGATGGTGAAGCCCGAGGATCAGGAGGGCTTCGAGCACCTGCTGGAGAAGTACAACGTCAACTACTTGGTGGTCAACGAGAATTTCGGGGAGTCGCTGCGCAAGGAGCAGGAGGAGAACCAGAACCAGAGGCTGATGAACCTGCGATCCGCTGGACGCAGCGTTGGCTTCAAGGCGTTCCATCGCCATGCCGAGATCAATGCCTACCTGGATGAACTGGCTGCCGCCTATCCCAGCCGTGTCTCCGTTCAGGTGGCCGGCAAGTCGTTTGAGAACCGTGACATCAAGACCATAACTATCACCAATGGCGATGGAAAGAGCGGCAAGAATGTGGTCTTCCTGGATGCTGGAATCCATGCTCGCGAATGGATCGCCCATGCTGGTGCTCTGTACGTGATCCATCAGCTGGTGGAGAACTTTGCTGTCAACTCGAATCTGCTGAAGAACTATGATTGGATCATCCTGCCGGTGGTGAATCCCGATGGCTACGAATACTCTCACACCAACACCCGCATGTGGCGCAAGACCAGGAAGCCCATCAGCAGTGCCTGCTATGGAACCGATGCCAATCGCAACTTCGATTTCCACTGGGGTGAGGTGGGCGCCTCCAGCTACTCCTGCTCCGATACCTTCATGGGCGAGACGGCCTTCTCCGAGCCAGAGACCCAGTTGATTCGCGACATCCTGCTCAGTCTGAACGGACGCGGCAAGTTCTACCTGACCCTCCACTCCTATGGCAACTACCTGCTGTATCCTTGGGGCTGGACCTCGTAAGTATCCTTTTTAAATACCCTTTTCTAGCACCTCAGTGCTAACCCGTCCAATCGCATTGCAGTGCCCTGCCCAGCAGCTGGCGCGACATCGATGAGGTGGCCCAGGCTGGAGCGAGTGCCATCAGGAGTGCCACCGGAACCAAGTACACCGTTGGCAGTTCCACCAATGTGCTGTATGCTGCTGCCGGCGGCAGTGACGACTATGCCTTCGCAGTGGCCAACTTCCCGGTGTCCATCACCATGGAACTGCCCGCAGGCGGCACTGGTTTCAACCCCAGCACCAGCCAGATCGAGGGCTTCGTCTCCGAGACCTGGGTGGGCATCAAGGCCATGGCCCAGAAGGTGGCCGAGAAGTACTAGCCAAGTACAATAAATACCATTGATATTTCCTAATCGCGTAGTCTTCATACTAATTGGGTTCGCATTTCCACGCATGTTTAAATCGGCGGGCGGCCCATTGGGTGGGTGGGCCATATCGCTCGAGGTTTGCCATTGACACACAATACTAATGGGCGGGGCACTCGACTCCGGGATACTACGGACTTATCGCGGTCTGCTACTTCAGTTCGTCAAGTGGAACGGATCTCAAGGGGCGGTCTTGATTATCACGGTTTCACGGAATTAAACCGCCTTTTGCCTTTATTTTTTGGCTGAAAAAATACGAACTTAAAATATTTTTCATGAGTCAAAGCGAATTTGTCATTTGACTCGTCATTATAATTTAAAATGTATATATATGCATATTTATTTATAATTTTCATTTGCTTAGATAGGTGTTTCACATACTTGGGTCCGCGGAGTAAGCGGTTTTAATCGGTTTTCAATCGTGTTTCTATTGGGAGAAATATTAAGTTATGTAAAATAATACCCAATCTCTGAACTTACCTTTCCCTGAACATTTGAAGGATTTTGCTCTTAACGATAAATAGCAGGAAAATTGGTATTCCAAAGGACGCATGCAAGTAGTCGGCTAACCACAGAAACTGTGGGAAAACTCTAAGGGTCTGCATTACACTGAGAATCAAATCCAGACTCCAAGTTACACCCAAGATCGTAGGTAATCGCAGCCAAAATAAAACACTGATCGAAATAAAATATACTCGTGTATAAGTTAAATTATGCTATTAATGTGCCCCACCTCTTGCACTTCTCCATTAGGTCGGCTTCCATGAAACTCCTTTTTTGTTTTAAATTGATTCTCACGACCAGGATACTCCAGACCGTGTTGATAAGGCTTAGAATCAGCATCACCACATAGTAGAATACAATTGTGTAGGGC